CCCGCCGGCGCCCGGCTCGCTGCAGGGGCGCCCGCGGCACGGGGCGGCTCTCAGCACCCGTCTGCCTCTCTCCTAGATGGCGAACCTGGCGCTCCTGCGAGGGCAGCTGGACAGCGTGAGTGAAGCCCTCCGGGGCGGGAGTGCAAAACGAGTCCGTGCAGGGACCGGAGACTTCAGCACCCCTCCCCTCCCCTCCCCTCCCCCCACGAGCACGGGCGGTGCTCGCCGCCAGCCGGAGTCCAGAGCTGGCTCCTCACCGGGCACCTGCTCTCTTTGCAGGCAGAGAAACTCTTCAAAGCAGCGATAAGCCTCTTGCTGGCTGGGGACGCTAAGCAGGTGAGTCCCCTGCCGCCCGCCGCACGGTTTCCTGCTCCGTACAGGTACATCACTACCACCCCCATCCCTACCTCTCTTGGGGCAGACAAACCTGCAGCCTCTTCCGCAGCCCGTGGACTGGTCCCTCTCCCTGTAGAGCCTGGAAGCTGCCTGTGCTGGGCCCACGGCAACCTCCACCCCCGCTCCAGCAGCGTCCGCTGCCGGAAGCTGTGCCCCTGCCTCCCGCAGGACACGCCCTTGGCCTACGCCCTATAGGCGTGATCCCGAACGCCCTGGCTGCCGGGTCCATGCCCCTCTGGCTTCTCCCCTGGCAGGATGACAACGCGATCATCGAGATGTCGCTCAAGCTGGCCAGTATCTACGCTGCTCGGAACCAGTGAGTTCGCGCCCCAGGCTGCAGCCTGCCGTATTCAGGAGCTCCAAGGCGTCCGTGATGGTTTGGGTCAAGGGAGAGTCTGGCCCCTAGGAAGGAGGGTCCTGCTGACACAGCTCAGGGGGAAGCTTCAACTCTGGCTTCAGAGGCCGTGCTGGTCTCAGTCTCAAGAGAGCAGGCCTCTCTCTGGCTGCTGGGCCTGGGCAGCAGGCCAGCCCCAACTGCAGTCACCGGAGGAGGAGTCCCTGCAGAAGGTGACTTCAAAGAGACTAACGCACTGAATGTGCGCAGGCCAGAGGGACTTGGGTTTTAGCATTTAGGATTGGAGCCAAGCACACCTGCCCCGCAACGCTATCTCCAGGGGTCCTGGAGCCCTTCACCAATTAGCTGAGCTGACCCAGAGCTGGTGCGCGGTGTTAGGGGCTGAAGCTGGGAGCAGGTGCTGTTTGCCCAGAGCCGCGATGCCTTCCTGGGGTCTGTGGGGGCGGGGATGAGCCTGGGACGTGCTGCTCCCAGTGGGGGGTGGACTTGCTTTGCCAAAGGCTGACTTTTTTTTTCCCCCCTCTGCTATGCAGAGACCAGCAGGCTATCACAGGCTACAAGTTCTGCATCCTGACCCTGGAGGAGAAAACAGCCACGCAGAAGGACTTGCCTGAAGACGTCCTCCCTGGTAGGCAGCTCCTAGGTGCTCGCTGCGGCCAGCGTGGCGCTGCGCCTGCCTTGTACTTCCTTGCCTAATGCCTTCCAGCCGCTGCCTGCCTTGGTGCCCAGACCCCCTCCCACTCTTGGCTGACAAGTCTTGTACTCAGTAGTTCCCTGGGAGCAAGGGGCAGTACCTCAACCTATCTCTGTTCTGCTTGCAGCACAGGAAAAAGCCAACACCCGCCTCCTGCTTGGATTATGCCTGGACTCCTACGGCCGCTACCTCCTCACCCGCAACCAGCCAGCTGTGGCCCAAATAATGTATGAGAGAGCCCTGCAGATCTCCAGGGACATCCAGGGAGAGACCCATCCACAGGTTAGCTGGGACCAACGGCTGCGATCAAGGGACGCGTGCTCACAACGGGATTGCCTTGGAGCTGGGCCTGCTCCCCTTGGGGCCGGGTTCCAGGAGCAGGCTCTGTGCTTAGGCAGCCGAAGCCTGAGCATGAAAATGGTCCGTGTGGGCGAGCCAGCACTGCTGTCATCTCACAGAGGAGTCCGTCACTCTTGCCACGAGGGCAAATGCTCCATGCCACTGTTCTCTGTCCCCTGCACTAATGCTTTCCTTGCTGTCTTGGTGCAGACAGTGATCCTGATGAGCGACTTGGCAACTGTGCTGGATGTGCAGGGACGCTATGACGAAGCATACACCTACGTGAAAAGGGCAGCGGAGTTGGCGAAGCAGACGAAGCATCCCGAGGAACATGTGGTGCTGAACAACCTGGCTGGAATTCTGATGCATAAAGGTAACGACTGCCCCCGCAACCAGCTGTTCCTCTGTGCCTAGGCAGTAGCAGGCAAGGAAGACCTGAGTGGGGTTGGGGAGATGGGTCAGAACAGCAACATGCAGGGAGGCAGTGCGGGAGCTGTTATCTGCTTTATGGCTACACCATGTGGTGTATGCTACATTAAATCACTCTCTGGGCTGGGGGAGAGTGGGGCAGGGCTGTGGGTGCCGACTCTTTCCAGATAATCCCTTTCCCCCAATAGCTCAACGCTGACCCTCTCTGGCTTGTGATCCACAAAATAGAATCCAGGAATGGAGAGAGGCTCACGGTGAGTTTCCTTTCCCCTCCTTAAATGCAGAAGACTTTCTGGAAGCAGAACGTGTATATGAAGCAGCTCTGAAGCAGGCACGACAGAAGGGAGATGATGCATCTGTCCAGCGCATCCAGAAGGAGCTGGCCAACCTGGCCACGCGGAGAAAGGCACAAACTCCCTAGGTGGCAATGTACAGAGGTAGCTTGAAGCATCACGGGGGGCCAGGAGGTGGCTTGCGCACAGCACGGGCATGTTGGGATCTGGGGGGAACTAAAAGGACAAATTACAGGCTCGGTGCTGAGTGAGCTGGGGAGCACGGGAGGTGCTGCTGTGGCCTTTTGTCTGGCCCTAAATAAAGCATTAATTGTTATAGATGCCCAAGTGCGTTCTCTCCTGTACTTTGCCTGGCCCGAGGCCATTTAGTATACGTCTCAGCCTTTTTGACCTTGTATTCTTGTGCTTAAAGGCATCCAAAAAAGAAAGCGTAGCCTCCCTGGGGAAAACACATTCTGCTTCCAAACTGGGTCACAGCTTGGGGGCTTGGGAGGAATGACTAGGTCAGTCCATGCTTCCTGTCAGCCCTCTTGGTCATGCGCTAACAGAGCCACAGAACTAACTGCAGCAACTTCCTGCTGCAAAAGAAAAATCGTAAGTGCCTTCCGAGCCTGAACAGAAGGCGGCTACTTCACCTTCTACCCCAGCAGGCGAGGAGCACGGGAGACATCATAAAGTAACAGTTACCCACTCAAGTCTAGCCAGGCTAGCAGAGCTAGCGCTGGGAGTTTGGTGACTAGCTAAGAACAGCTCCTCAACATCTTAGCACAGTGATCACAGCCCTGTTGAGTTGTACAGCAGAGCAGTTTTGCATTCAGGCCTGGTCCTCTATATTACAGTGTGCCCCACATTTCTGCAGTGTGAATGTTCACTGAAGAGCCCTGACAGTTGCAAGGAACTGAAAGCCCGTGCATTTCCTATTGCACTTACTGGAGGGTGAAGCATCTTACAGGCCCGTGCATTTCCTATTGCACTTACTGGAGGGGGAAGCATCTTCCAGATGCCCAATGCATGTGTCCAACTCTGCTTCCATGTCAGAGTACTGTACTTTAATGCTTGCCATGGCATAAGACTGGAGGGAGCTCTGTGAGGCTGCTTCTATCATTGCTGTTCAAACTTGTGCCTACTTTTCTCAGCTTGGCTAGAGGCTGTAAATGAGAGGGAGAGACAGGCAAAGCAAGTGGAGAACTGATCCCCTTTATTGATTGGTCTGAATCCAGAAGTCACTGTCTAGTGAAGACATTGTGTGAAAAAAGTATTAAATTTTATCATGACGCATGGGTTTTTCAAGTCTTGAATGTTTTCGTATCAGAATCACCAAACATACCAAGATGAAAACATTGTGAAAGCGCTGATCAGAACACAGTTAAAAAGTTGTCATAGACTGCTCCTTGTAAACAATGATTTACAGTCGCCTCGTTTTGAAATGGGGCAGATGTCATCTGATTAGCGAGAGGCTACTAGAATCGTAAGGAACCTGCATTTAGGCTCTGGGCATCGGCAACCAAGTTAAGGGCGAGGGAACCATGCCTGACAGAAATAATGAGAATTACATTTAATGTGCAAATGCTACAAAACATTTCTCATGGGAATCCAATAATACTCCTTAGCTAGGCCACCTCACAGCAGCTATAAGGTGACAGTACAAATTTCCTTGAAAGTTATGCCACATGTATCCTCTGTTCTTTACTGTGCAGTTAACACTAGGTCTATGGTGTATAAACCTCTATTTCATGCTGAGCTCTGTTACACAGATCACTTAAGCAGGTGAATTTTAGAATGGGACTGGGTTCTTCACTTTCCCAACTCTAACTGTGCGCTAAGGGTAGACAGACTTATTTTCCAGCACGCGCTGCTGTGGAATAATAAAGGATGAATTAAAAAGTCAGGGCACAGGTCTGCACACAAATAACCCAATGGATGCTTGAGGCCTAGAAGCCAGAATTGTTTAGTTCTTCTCAAACTGTGAAGACACTTAGAGGAGATGTTAACACACCCAAACTAACTGCAGGATACAAGATGCAAAGACAGCCTCAAGGCAATCCTGTAATACCTTCAGCATATCATCAAGTGCCCAAAGAGAAGGGTTAAAAAACATCTTTCCTTTCTCCCGCCTGGAACTGGGGCAAATGGATTGCTCAACATTTACACGACTTAAAATATCCTATACTAATGCAGTGCTGCTTCTGGCCTGTAACAAGGACCTCCAAGCTCTTCCATAAAATGTGGAGCCTGCATGGACGCCGAGTTACAGACCACCAACTTCTGTACCTTCCAGATGCAAGAATGGCAAATAGAGTAAGTCAAGTTTAAGTTTTTCAACAGGTAAATCACTGAAGCATGGCATCTGACAGCTCTCTGCTAAGACCCTTCGGAACAGTCTAGCTGATAAAGGGGATGCACATTGTTTAATCTGATATTGGAGAGACATTATTCCCTGAATTAAATAGCATCCTCCCCTAACCAGCAGAAATTTCCTTTTACCTCACAGCAGCCGAGTAAAAGACTGAGAATCCAACCAGCTGAGGCAGCACCAGTCAGATGCACACGAACAACATGAAATAGAGCCTGCTCGTGCAGCGGTAGATGAATGATTACAGAGCCCCTCTTCTAGTACCATGATTTTTTTAAGAGGCGACTTCTCTAGAACTTACTGCACACTCTACAGCAGGGGCGGGCAATTATTTCGGGCAGAGGGCCGCTTACTGAGTTTTGGCAGGCCATCAAGGGCCACATGACAGGCACCCAGGGGCAGATAAATATTGATTTTCTAAATTCTTAGGGGCCCCGTGGGCCAGACAGAATGGCCTAGTGGGCCACATCTGGTCCACGGGCCACATTTTGCCCACCCCTGTTCTAGGGGCTAGCTCATGCAAGGCTATGGGTTTCCAGGGACAACCTTTCTCTTGTGAAATTGGGGTTTAAAGCTAGGATATGCACTTTAAAATAAAAGGTTTTGCAATTAGAGTGAAGTAAGGAGGAATCACAGTATCTATTTCAAACTGGCTGCAAATCAAAACCAAAAGATCAACTTGTACTTTTTGGTTTGCTCAAAGCTCAACAGCAGTTTGTTGTTTCTTTAAACCAGAGCTGGCTGTTGCTCCGTTTCTCTTGACAAACCGATTATCCACCCAGAGCCTTTGTTCAGACCAGCAGTTTGCTGCAGTCGTGCACGGCAGTAAGATTTGTTTCCAACAGTAGCTTCTTCAGGCTGCATACAATGCAGAAGCCAGGAGATGCTGCAGAAAGAGTCCCCTAGAACGCCACTCGGTCACCAGTGTGGAGAACAGTGAGGTATGCTCCCAGAAGCTGCTTCGGGGGGTTTTTTCCTTTTAAGCTGAACCATAAACATACCCATGCAATAATATTTCTGCAGTGTTGCTAAATAAAACTGACCGTACTGAAAATTTACAATGTGGCAGAAATTTAAAAATCAAAGAGAAATATATCATCTTCCTCCAGCGGACCAGACGATGTTAATGTACAGAGTTCATTAAGGGGGCAGTCTTTTAAAAAAAAAAAAAAAAAAATCAACATTTTCACAAGCGCTTGAACACCACTGAGAAAATGTGTCTAAGGAGAAATTAGATCAAAGCACAAGGCCTGTGGGAGGCAGCACAGCATTAGAGGGCAATGCTGCTGCTGTAGGCAGGCTTGGGTTATGAGGAGTATTCTACACTTGAGAAGATGTTTAAAAAAAATTACAAAATGACCCCCAAAGTTTATGCATTGATTTGAACATAAGTACACCAGATACTACAGCAAGGGGAAAACCACTGCAAAAAGTACTCTCTATTTACAGAAGAATGATTTAAAGACATGGTTTTCTTTACAAACAGATGTAGAACAGGAATAGTCCATATTTTTAAAAACTCTTTACATATTTATCTTTAGTACGTCAACCTTCCTCGATCACAATCCTCCACGTGGGCTGTGCAGAAGGCATCTTTCGAATCGACTCTCCAAATAAAAGTTTCCGTCGCTTCTCCATCTCGTATGGCCCTTGCTCTCTTGGAAAGTCTCTTTGGGCACAAGTCAAAAAGAAGATTTCCTTTGACCCGCAAATTAAAAAAAAAAAGAAGAAGAGAAGAAGAAAAACCACCTCTGCATAGTTCAGTCGTCACTGTCAGACAGAGTCTCGTACTGTGCTGAAAGCAGTGGGGCAGGCTCTCGCTCCCAGATCCTGTTCTGTTGGTGAGTGGTTGCTTGGCTCATGGATGGTGGAGCGCATGCGATGGATGTTGGCGGTGTACTGCTGAGCATCCGCATCGTCAGGGGGTTGTAAGGGAACTGCGTGGATCCTAAGTCAAAGAAAGGTTCACGCAGGTTAAAAAAAGCACGACCTTCCAACCAGCTCCTCCCTCACTGACAGAAGTCAGCACCCGCTTGTTTTAAGCAATGGCCACCCACGAGAAAGGAAAAATGTAAGTTAATTTCCTCAAATCCCCATGACTTTGTAACAGCCAGGATGATGGGCAACTTATTTAACTTGAAGGTACGCAGAACTTGGCTAGTTTTCATAGCTTTAATTCAGAACGCTGCAGGAAGCAAATTATCACATTTCTTTGGCACAAGCTGCTTGATACAATACAGCGGACTTAAAAGTTTCAGGGACTAAAAGTGCTTTGGAAGAAGAAAAAAAAAATGTTTTCAGCAGCTGTCTACACTTATACCCCTCACTGTTCCAGCCAGCGGAGGTCTGGTCTTGGGGGTCAGATAGAAATTGCAAGATTTCAGTTCTCAAAGTTAAATAATTTCACATCTCTGAGGTGGCTCAGCCACTGGTAGACAATGGGAATCACTTTGGGGAAAGCAAATTAAACTCATTACAGCCTGACTGACCTCTAGCAGTGGTGTCTTCTGGAAATGCTCTTGCCTCCTACTGAGACCATTTGCTTCTCTGCCAGCATCCAATTCAGAAAGTTCACTGCTTGACCTTGGATACTGCGCTTGTTTGGGCCCACACACTGAACGCGTGTTTAGCTATGTCTAACTTCCCAACAAAACTGCCCTTCTAGTTCGTTATTTTTAGTTTCTGGCACTGTTTCTCACCTGTTGATGAAGGCCTGTCCTCCCAGGCCCACACTGGAGTCTGTCTATGGTAATCTCCTTCTGAATGTACAGATGAGACAGAAGAAGGTCTCTCAGTTCCTAAATATCCCTGCCCAGGAATAGGAGATTTAGACTTCCTGCTACTGGACTTGCCGATTAACTTCTGCTTGCCGACTCCTAGTCCTGGAAATAGAAGCCACACACCAAAAAAAGTTACTTTTTTTTCTTCAAAAAAGGCACACTGCATTTTAGACTCAGCAGGTTTTGATGAGCTGACATCTAGGGGACTAATCTGTCTAGAGGGTTTCGTTAGAACAAACCAATCTGTGGTCAGGAGCTGCAGGCTGATGCTCCTGTTGGCTGCCTATGCCCCACTGCTAGTAAATCCTGACTCCCACCATCGAGGAGGGCATTTCAGCTGAGATGGTCACAGAACCAAGGTTCTTTCAGAGGCTGCCTAATTTCATCCAGTGCTCCCTGGTTACCGCACATGCTGCTCCAGGTATGCATCTTCTGTACTGCAACGCTGAAGGCGCAGCACATGCCCCCTCATCCCCTCTGCTCGTCACAGCAGCTGTGCTCCCAAAGCAGCACTGGAAAACACTCCTGGAGTTGGTGAATCTGCTTTGTGAATGGGAAGAGCCGTGACACTGGTGTCCTCACCCGAAGGGCAGGAACGCGGTCTCTGCAGCACTGCCAGCAGGCATGGACTCGTGTTTTTGTTGCTTCAAGTTCAGTTCAATCCTTCCGTTCCACCCCACAGTTACTGTCTCCAGGCCCTACAATTTGGAGGAGCTGTAAAAATCTCACCTGAATTGGGTGATGGATTAGCTTCTTCTCTACGGGTCTCACTGTTTGCTGATACTGCAGGGTTGGAACTGCCAGGTGCTACCCCTATAGGTTGTGACATTACAACTCCATGATCCTCCCCTTTGTCATCAAAGTTTCCCATCAATGCCTTCCTAATAATGTCTTCCAGACCCAGATTACTGGCAGGATCTGCAAAGGAATGACCCCTAGAACTGACTGCACCTGGGAGGAGGAAGAAAACATATGGGGAAGGGTGGGAGGGGAAGGACAAAATACACCTCAAAAGATTTACAAAGGGACATGGGAGAAGATTTTAGAGAGAGACAGAGGAAGAGAGAGATGGAAAAAACAAAGGTGAGCAATTTATGCAAAGCTACATGCTCCAAGCAGCTCACAACAGCTAGGAGTTAGACATGCCAGCACATGTTAAAGAGCCATGTCAGTTATGCCACTAAATGTCAGCGGACAAGATCTATTTACATGTGTATTAAAAACAAAGAGCAGAGGAAGTTAAATATGCTAATTTGGACAGAATATTATTCAAAAACCTGCAGCAATTAAGATCTTTCGGTTATAAGGGAGGAGACCCAGAAAGAAGCACTTCTCTCATGAAACATCCCAAGCTGTGTTGGAATTTCGTTTTGTGAATTAAAATATTAAATTCAAAGCATTTAAAGGCAAACATTTACCTTTACCACCTTTCTCTCCCTTAACTTAGATGCAACAATATTAATATGAATTACACGTTAAACCAGGTCCGTCTTGGATGGGGAGTTACCAGAGCACTTACTGTAAATGCAGCAAGCACCTCACTAATGATTCAATGTCTTCCTTTCTAAAATCACACTTACATTATGACCAGGCATCATAACCTTTTTTAAACTATAAAATGTTGGGATTTTGTGAGTATTTATAATCCTGTTTAAATGAGATGCCAAAGAAAAAGTGCTAGCATGGTTTTTGCATCTGTGCAAAGAAGTAAAGCTACAGTAAAAATAAAATGACATTCCCGCCTAAACTCCAGTTGAGACATTTGCTTAAATTCTCTTTACAATCATTTTTCTTTCCCCTAATGTACTGAAACAGGATTTTCCCCAGTTAGAGCTTCACTGATTCAATGCTACATTTTCCCGTCATTTCTCAGCCTTCCAGTGCACCCATAAAAAAGGCATTACGCCATTTTTACACTCTCCATAAATTATTATGCCACTGATGTTTCTCTGAAAGACTTACCTGAGGTAGTGACTGCTGGCAAATTGAATATTTCAGTTCCTGGCTGAGCAGTTGCTGTAATTAAAGCAGAGTGGAGAAGTTAGTTTTGCAGTACGGGTGCCTGTTGCATGTTTTATGCACAGAGTGTAATTAAACAGGCTTCTGATTATTCGTCCCCTTTATCTGTTTTCACTTCACCACTGGAGGTCTCAGGACTGGACAGGTGCCATTGCTGGGAAGAGTCAATCCACATGTAAGAGGTTTAGCTTTACTGTCTGGTTATAAAACAATTGCAGGCAGCCTGCTTTCCTTTAATAGGCTTCCAGTGACTAGACGGACTGATCCTTTTCCATGTCTCATCTTTCACACTGCACTTGAAAAAGGCATATTTTTTGACCTGAATATACCCATTTTTGTGCGTTTTACAGATTTGATATTACACTGTATTTACTTAACACCGTTCACAGATATGCTGGGGTAAGTAGGGAAAAAAAAATCAGGTCAGTAGACCTACGTGGTAACTGTGATAGGGACATCTGTAACAATAAGAATGCAGACTGACTCAATGCTGACATGCAGCAAATGTCAAACAAATGTCAGTGGCATGTACTATGTTCGCTTACTAGAATGCTAGATGCGAGGTAAGCCACAACTGTAGTGCGGGAGAACAAAAACAGGCTGCATACCCACTAGGGACCATTAGAAATAAAAAGGACATTTACCACCCTTATACATACCCTAGGTTTCTCTTCTCATTGAACAAGACAACACGGGCTTAACACTGGTACTAAAAGACACCCGCTGAACTCACTTATAAGTGAGAGACTTTTTACAGAACAGGCCCCATTCTGTCAGCTATAACAGAGCCACATTTAGAAGACTTTCCAGAGCAGTGATGTACTTCTGTGGAACAAACTACCTTCCTGCTCACCACCAGAGATGGGCTCTGACCGTAGTATTCAAGGGTTAGGAGTCAATTAAGTTCCCTTCAGTCCAACTTTGAAAGGCCATGTGTGTTGAATAAGGCTAAGTAAGTCTGCTACAACACGGGCTGGGGGGTGCTGTACCACATAAGATTCTTCAGCCCAAACTAGTTGCATGTTCAAGGACCAAAGGCTGCCATCATGACACCCTGAACAGTGGTGCCCAACGACAACTAGTACAGTCTTTGGAACACAAAAACGAGAAGCCTCCAAAGAACACAATACCAAAACCCTGGACAAGCATGTTTTTACATCTAGTGGGTATCAAACAAAAACCAAGTAAATCGCATGAGACAGAAGTGCCAAGCTTCCAACAAACATTTGGTAGTGCCACACTTAAATACTTGTCCTTGGTTTACAGAAGCAATATTCCTCCCTCCCAACTACAAAAGTAAATAGAGCAAAACGGTCAGTGTTTAGTTGCGTTTTTTATCCATACTTTTATTTCTAAAATTGTTTAACCAAAAACTGGCTAGATTTTTTAGGACTGCAGTTCAGGGGTGACTTATGTCAGAAAATACAATGAAAAGGAGAAGTCCCCACTCACTTACCCATGTCAGAGTCACCTCCACCAGAGGAGTTCAACTTACGAAATATCTCCTGCTTCTTGGACTTCACCATTGGTGACGTGCTTTCAAGCTTGGTGAAAAACGAAGGCAAGTAGCTTATACTCCCAGGAGAGCGAGAGTCAGTCCTGTTGAGACCAACAGGTGTCAAGAAGGAACTCAACGTGTATTACTCTTCTCAGCAGCTTTAAATGTTACAGCCTGAGTTTGTACCAGGGGGCTAGGTTCAACAAATTTTAATACACATTTGCTCCCGTACCTCAGTTCTAGACACTCAGATACAGTCTCCAACTTCTTAGATGCACTGGGGTTTGCCCAAGCACAAGCCAAACCAGTGACTTGCCAAGTGCATTTAATTTGCAGATTTTCAAGCAGTTTGCACTACTGGTAGGTGTCAACCTTCCTTTTATACACACAAGGAAGTTGATGCATGGAGAGATTACTCAGGAATAGAACAAAGGTCTCCTATCAAAAAACAATGCCCTAGCTACTGCACCATGTTGCCTCTAGAATTACTGTAATTAAAAACAATTCCTATAGTTTCCTAGGGTTTTAGGTTGTAACCATGTTGGTCTAAGGACATAGGCAGACAAGGTTCCTTGGGTGAATGTGATATCTTTTATTAGACCAACAAGTTGTCTGCCTATAGTTTCCTATACACTTTCACTCTAGGCCTAAACAGTGCTGCTAATTTAAGAGAGGGAAATCAATCTTCAGTTCCAAAAGAACTGCATTTTTAGGAAAACTTTTGGAAACGTCTATCCTAAATTAAAAGCCAAACGGGAAAATGTTCACAAACGGGAAATCCAACAATTTCCCCCGACAAACAGAACATGCACACGCGCTACTCTCCTTCTGAAATCAGAGCTGCTGTTTCCAGGCAGAGGACTAGAACATTGGCTCCCTCCCCGAGGAGCTCAGCTTTTAGACATACCTCTGTTCAGTAGGCTCAGATCTTTGGGAAAGCAGCAGAACATTGTCTTGTTTCTCATGCACAACTGGGACCTGAGGGGGTGAGATGGGCTCGTAGGACTCTGAAGAGACATGACTTCTTTCTGGAGACTTCCCAGGTCTACATTTACAATGCAAAGAGATTATATTCTTTACAGGCAAGAACACAAGCAGTTCACCTGTTACAACAACCAGTGATCAAGCCTACATGGTTTATGACACATTTGGGTCTGTGAAAGGCTTTGGGATATTTCAAGATCTTTCAAAAACAATCGACATATTTATTTCTATGCTGACCTTCAAGTGCTTAAATGCTTTCCCTCTTTCCAAAGACTGGAGATGCCGTGAAGGGAATCTAGCACAATGGGGAAATGGCTGTAAACTATGCTGAATAGCTAGACCGCACTTAACTGTGTAGAAAGGACGAAAATAAGACACGTACTGTGCATGCCTCCCATTTGTTGAAGATCACGTAAAATGAAAGTTGTCTCGAAATGGCTAAGAAGGGTTAAGGGATATACCGACTTCAAATCAACTGGCGCCTAACTCAGAGTTAACTTTGGTTGACTACTTATCCATGCAATAGACAGATTTACAGTCAAACTGGAAAAAGAAAGTCATTTTACCTTCCCCTGCCTTTGTCAGAGAGATTCTCAGGAGATACCCTAGCAGCAGGCCGTTGGTGGTGGACAGACTGTGACTGCAACTCGGGACTGTAGCGGTTGGGTGCCTTGGCCCGAAGGGGTGTGGGACTTGCAACAGAAGCCGAGTTCTGGAATGTACTTGTGGGAGGCTGCAGGGAGGTCTGGGAGGCCGACTGGTTTCGAGCAAAATCTTGTGTAATAATTTGCTAATTGAGGGTGGAGAAAAAGGTCAGTCAATAGTTTGGCGACCCTGAGTGCATTTAAAAGAACTGAAATTGGTGCTATACGCAAACACAACCGTAACGCCCACAACGTGCTTGCAGAACATGTCAAGATCCCAGCGCCACTCCTCCACCCCAGTCTGCTGCAACTTCCTATTGCAACAGAACATGGAAAGCTTCCAAGTTCCAGAAACACTAACCATTTCAGAAAAGGCCCGTGCAAAGTAACTTACACAGATATGATCATTAAGGGTGATCAGACGGGTCCTGGGCACATGTGCCATCCCTTCTGCCTGTGAGGAAGGTGGTGGAGGCTGCTGGGGAGATGGAGATTCTTGTTGTGGCCTGTACCGATGAAACGACCCCTCGTACTGTCTGTTGGGATCATCTAGTTTTCAAATAAAAGCAGACCAGTCTAATGAGACACTGATGTTATATAGGGCTTGTTACTGAAGCTTAAGATTTGAAAGCCCTGTATTTTCTTGAATACAAGTCACCTTTTTCCAAAAACAGCTGGTGGAAATTGGTTCCCTAGCTGCTGGTACTCAGTTACTTACTATGGGGAGATTTTTTTCTTCTTCGTTCTGCCTCCAAAACACACAGCGTGTATTATATTTGGAGGATGTTGTATGTGAGAAAATACAGTACTTCAAGTACTTATAGAAAGGAGTATTTGAAACATTCCCCACATGAGATTTCATGTAACCAGAATAATTAATAGAGCTTTTTTACATTCCCTCCCTCGCTGCTCGCGTATCGGATCCTCTGAAACAAAGGAGCAACAGAAAGCTGAGTTCTAGTGTTTAGCTAGATTTCATCGCATTTCCTTAGACATCTCAGTAAGCTATCACTTTAGCATCTCTCACCAAGATTTTAAACCTTAAAGTGTTACAGCCTTGCCCCACAGTCTGCCAGATTTAAAATGTTTTCCTAGACAACCAATATACTGGGAGTTTATAAAGCATATTTTTCAACTGAATAAAAGCATTTTCTTAACAGTGTTTAATCAGAAGATACTCCAGTGAGGAGAAGTACAGTTAAGTGAACTTAGGCTGGGACTAAAAATCAGGAATTCTGAGTTCTTGCCCTAACCATCTCAAACTGTCCACTGGATGTCAGATCACTCTATCTACTGCATTTTCCTCGTACACAAAACGGGAATAATACACCCACTCTTTCATAGGAGTATCAGTGCATAATTAGGGAATACTAAATATCATCATACTTGTGATGCATTGAGCCAATGTTCTCACTCTCTGCAGTTCACAGCATGTACTTTAGAGAGAACTTCTGAAGACTGAAGTGTGCCTTAAACTATAGCTTAAAAGGCTGCTCATGTGCTTTAAATGCATTTGCTTTCCTGGCAAGTGATAAAAAGGAAATGTCTACCCTAGGCACATGACAAGCTTTTTTACAGCTACAAAGCAACTCACTCTCTGCCTGGTTTGATTTGGGCACCTCTTGTTGATAGGGCTGCAGTTTTTCTTGTGCAGGCGCTGGCGAATTTGCAGGAGTGATCACCTCAATGGCATCTCCAGGTGGCTCATACCGGTGGGAGGATACTGAAGTTCAAGCAACGGAGAAGTTTTTAAATAAAATACAAAATCAGCACACGCTTGAAACCCCTTCACTGGCTGTTAACACCAAGCCCCATTCATATGTTCCAAGAAGTGCAGCTGTATAAAGAAGTCATTTTATTTTTATGACCGTAGCATTTAAATAAGCACTTTTCTCCTCATTTCCACAGAGAATTTTCTGCTGCACATGTAAAGCTATTATTTTTAGGAAGCACACTGTTATTACTAGCCGGTTTAAGTTTTGTTTTCCTATGACTTAAGACAAAGAAGAGAACGGCTAAGATTTCCCTAGGCATTTGCAGCAAATATGGACTTGGTTGGACGTCATGAGTTTTTCACCAAGCACCAAGACTCTCACAAAACCTGGATTTCTCTATGAAGAGCTGCTCATGTCTCAAGAAGGGAATACTATTTTGTCACTTCACATCCAGTATTGAATTCTGTGAAGGAAAGGAAGTGTAGCACTATAGCACCCACCTTGCTTAAGTATCACAGAATTCAAGAGTCTTCAAGAACCAAAACCAGTCCTCTTACAGAACAATGCAGCAAGTGACATAAGACAGCACACACAATTAAGGGCAAAGAGACTCACAACTGCTAGAAGAATCTGAACTCTGCGAGCCCCGATCCCGCACATCCTTGTCCGAAGCAATCTGCCGAGTGATGATCACATCAATGAAGTTCGCAGCAGTAATGGTGGTCTTCCCTCGGGTTCGTAGCTCCTCCTCGTACCTGGATTTAGAATGCCCCTTCTCTTTACCAGCCTCTGAATAAACTACTGATGACGAAGACTGACCCTGGGACTTGCCACTGGAAAAGGCCGCTGATGTATAGGGACACTGAACAGGTCTTTTTTCTGTGTCCAGCACTTTCTGCTCCATCTGTGGCTGCTGCTCAGTAACCACGGCTGACCTGCGCCCCATGTTCTCTTCTATTCTGCTTCCTTCATGCTTGTTCTCTTTTGCTTTGGCAACTTCCATCTGAGGAGCAGAGGCTGCAGCATCTACAAGTGCAGCCAGGGCATCAGCTGCTGTGTTGTACCGTGAAGCAGGCAAACCTGGAGTGATGGTGGGGGCTCCAGGGGTGAGCTGCCTGTTTGCAAGCAAATATCTGCATTAGAGCACAGAATAGGAACAGAACGCGCCTCCCCTGGCCTCCTGAGGACAAAGCTAACGTTTCCAGTAGGACTGGTGGAAAATACAAGTTCATTTCCCAGACGTCAAAGAGCCATTTCATCCCTACAATTTTTCATGCTAATTAATTTATTTATTTATTTATTTATTTTTTACTAACGAGCTCACCCCAAAAAGGTTTCTTTGCAACAGTAGTTTAAGAAACATACATGATACGTAGCTGGGCAGCAGGGTCCAGAGGTGTGATCACACTTGTCCCATTGGTTCCTTGGAAAATACTGGGTCTTTGCTGCAGTATGTTCTCTTGCGTTCTCACCGAAGGAGAAGGTGAGCGAACGTACCCATGACTGCCAGGTCTACCAGGCTGCTCTGTACCTTCAGTGTGCAGAAAAAAAAATATATTCATAACATGTAGTGTAATTATGGAGATAGCCAAGTTGCAACCATGGAGATAACAATGCACCACTGTAACCATACAGCTATTCCTTCCCTCCATCCTTTTTTGTCACAGGTTTTCCAAATACATGCCAGTTTTTAGAGCTTTCTAAGGACTGGCATCCTCCACCTGGCACTGTACTAAATGTCACTGCATTGTTGACAGTATCTGCACAGGGTTGATTCCATCCTACACCATCTGAAACAGGAGAGAGCCAAGAGCATGCAACTGCAGAAGCTAAAACCGCAAGGAAAATCTCCGCAACTTAGAAACTATCCTTGAGATCATGCTAACAGTAGGCTACATGGTACCATTTTAGAGCTGAAAACAGCAAACTGTACGCCATTTAGTTGCACTTTAAGAAGACTGATCTAAGCATGGCATTAAGCACTCACCAGGCCGAAGGTAGAGCTCAGTGGGAACAGCAGCTATTCTCTCCCTTTCTCGCTCTCGCTGCCTCTCCTGCTCTCGTTCACGTTCCCTCTCCCTCTCTCGTTCCTTCTCCCTCTCTCTCTCCCGTTCCCTTTCAGCATTTGCTGCAGCTGAAGCGGCCAGATGTGTAGGGTGTCCTGGAAAAATACTTGAGGTGAAACGCCTTGAGCAGCAATAAAGAGCACAAAACACTTGAAACACAGCAAAATGTGAGATGTGCTTGCTTTAAGTGGGCAACAGAAACATATATGGATTTTCAAGCTCATTGTCATGCCACTCCACTCCACTCCACACACTTGCCTAAGCAAGCTGACCTTAATGTGCACTGTCAGGAAAGGAATCAGTCAATAACCTTCTCAACTTACTACATGGCTTCACAGTGTCAGAAGCTTGCCAGTTGGCAAAAAACTGGAGCTAAATTCCATCTTGAATACACGTACCCGAAGTTACTGTGCCCACATGTCAGATGGTAGAACCTGGCCTCTGGTGCCTGAGAGGGCCTTCAGGGCCTTCAAAAGGTATGTGCAAGGCATTGGGGATCTTTGGCTCCTACTACAACAATATAATACACTGGAAACAGCATCTCCCATCATCCAAAGTGAACTAGCAAAAGCAACAAGAACATTGCGCTCGCTTGCTGCCTGTCAAGGAGGGCCAACTCTCCCCATGTACAGGAGGATTCAAAATGATGCTTAATGACCTGAGCACTTACCTGGTGACAGAGAGGCAGGATTGTAAGGCCTGGGAGGGAACGTAAGCTGGGTACCAGGGATGTAAGTGATCCTCTCCATAGGAGGGGTGCTTGTTCCTCCTGGGTGTGGCACTAAGATAGTGGGAGCCATATTATTCAGGTCAATAATTCCTGTTAGAAAACAATGGAATGAGAATATACTTACTAGCATTCACCTAAATTAGCCGGCAAAACAGTTACTAAAAAGTAAATACGCATCAAGACTGTGCTACTTCTACAATACCCATTTTAATTTTGCTTTTATGTCTGTAGAGACCAGTCAGTTTTTTGTCCTCACGTTTCATATAAATCAATCCCCTTTCTCAGAAGCGTGTTTTAAGAGTACCTGAAGGCAGCGGACATACCTCTGGCTCCTGCATATGGGAGAGCTAACGTTTGCTCTCTAGGAGATAATCCTCGGGTTACATCAGGGCGTAAGTTAACTTGCATCTGCTGTGAGGTAATATAGTCATTTAGGATTGTCTGCCGTGTGTTCTCCATCGCATAAAGCTGGTACTGACTTGGGTAACCTGGGGTGGGTGAAAGCTGCCTCTGAAACAGGTATGCAGCTGCAGCTGAGGATGAGAAGCAAGATTTAGTGTGTAGCAAGAGTGGCTTGACATTCGTAATGAAGATATTTCTTAAGCTTAAATGAGGAGTGTTGCCAACCCCCCCAGGCAAGCTCTGACAAGGCCAAAGCCAGCATTGTCAATACTGATATTCCAATGAGAATGAATTAATAGTTTAATGGAAAATATGTTGTTTTATGGAAAAAGCCATGAGAGGAAACAATATAAATCCCTAAGTACTGCAGAAGTAAATGGCTGAACTAATCAGAAGTAGTCATAAGAACGGGCAGGGGTGGACTACAAATGAAAATGTGATTGAACTCCTGCGATCCATACTGTCCAAATTAACGGAGGTAAACAGTAATGTTTAAAAACAAACATAATCTGTCAAATGTATTATAATCTGAATGTCCAAATTACAGCTTCCCTCCAAAGCACAGTCTTTTCTGTGCATTACTGAAGATCATGACAGTACTGACCACGGACCACGCCACTTACCAGGATCCAGAGCCCTGTGAAATGGCATGGCTGGATCCAGATGAGGGGGAAGATGGCTTCTGTAGACTTCTGGAGTAGCTCCTCTATGATGGGGGTCAAAGGGACTGTGAGCTACTACTGGGTCAACCCCTGGGACTGGCGATTTTGCTGGTACACTCTCTCTCTGGGTTGGAGTGAGCGGTGTTTTCCTTTCATGATTTGCAGACTTCCCAGAAGACATTCCAGCTGAAGGGAGTGAAGAAGGGGAGAGGGGGAAGAAAAAAACAACTTCTTTAGCAACACACTCTTGATACGGGAGGTTGTAAATATGAATTGAGCTCCAAAGGGAAGTGGCTTACGCACACCCAGAGCCCTGCAGTCACCTGTGCTCAAAAACACCCAAGGAACCAGAACTTGTATGGCTACGACCTGGATACCAACAACACCCAACACATTTAGGTGAGATATACAGTTGCAACTAAAGGCAGGACATTGCTAAGTGGCCTTTCAGCTTAACATGCCAGCTCCTTCACACAGATAACTCCCAACCATAAGTAACAGTCTCTATTTTAGAAACCTGAAGCCACATCTTTAAAGCTTTAAAGTGCACGCGGAGAGAGAATCTCCTCCCTTACCCTTGTAAGTGCATGTTTGACTCGAGCAGAAGTTTAGTAGCACAATTCTGGGTACCACATCCATCATAACCCCGCTGCCTGAGGTCAATATACAAGCAAAAGTTTCAGGCTCATCTAACAATCTCGTCTTACATCCACAAGGAAAATGAATTAGATGTTTTGACAAACAAGTACGGTGACTTCATGTTGTTGCTCTTTTACTACTTTTTTGTATGCCCTTAGGGCTGGTGTGTCTGACAAAGAACCCCCAAATTACATTTCCAGTAAGCCAGTGAAACCTCTGAGTTCCTACGTAGTCCATGTCTATGAGGGCAATGAACATGCTACTTAAATTATATCCAAAATATAAATTTATTTGCCATGACTTTATTCTCTTGAAGCAAATCAGTTATGAGCCCACTCACATAGACAATGCTATTTCGTCCAACATCTAATACACGGTATAAACACATGTACAATGTGTATTTGATTAGATAAACTGAGTGCTTGGAAAGGGTCAGTGGACATAAATCTCAGCTTCTCCATCCACAGGGTGGCAGAGCTCAGAACATAATACTGTGACACTTGCTCTTGAGCAGTGAATTTGCCTCCTCACTGAGAAACAGCCATGATTTTATAATGGGAACTGCATCAATAAGGAACGGCCGTTTCTGAAAGAAGCAGAATGAAAGTAACTTACCTGGAACAGTAAGCAGATTTATCCAGGCTAAAACAAGCAGAAAGCAAAACTAACACCCAAAAGTTTGGACATTCAGAGAGGACAGGCTGATACAAGGCTGTAATGAACTTACAAAGCCTCAGGCAAATGCCAACACAGTAACCAGCACCATCGTAGTTACACCTTTAAGGAAATTACATTTTTATTTAAAATGTCCCATTATTGAAGCTTTCTCTTACCTGTTTGAAGTGTGTGTGTGTGTGGGGGGGGGGTTTAAACCCTTTTCTACATGGGAAAACATGGATCCCCCCCACCTCAGCCCTTTTCCTTTGCCATTTCAAATCCCAGCAAAACGGACCTCAAATGGCTGTATAGACCCGCACAGTATCCATCACTGGAAGCATCACCACACCTTTCACAGCAATGTTCAATTTGTGCTTTTATCTCTACACAACAGTGGCCTTTGAGGGGTTTTTTAATCTTACTGATTTAAGAGAGATTAAAATAAGTCATCCAAAGGACATTTGTATCAAATTGTAATAAAATGATGTCAGGTTTGGGGGATGACTACTAGCCAGTATCTCCAAGCATTTCACTCTGGCTATGCATATAAGTTAGCAAAAATACATCCAATTAAAATTCTAGATATTTTAAAACAAACACCTATTTTAGCTGCAACATCTGTATTACGTACAGGGTGGGGCTCACAAAGATTAGCATGATTTGCGTATTTATAAAGGTGCTTTTCCTTTTTGGGAAACAGGCTTGAAGCAAAACATTTGTGCAGTTAAATGCCTAAAAAGGGGACAGGGCATCCAGTGGTATTCAACTCAAAACCTGCTGGGTGCTACACGGCCTCAAAGGATGCCAGTTATGTCCCAGTGTTTACAGCGGGAGGGCAAAAGTAGAGGAACCACTAGTAATGTGGGCACTGATAATGGTACCGAAACTGTCCCATCAGCTCCTCCCCTACCTAACTCTCTCAAGCTATCTGCCTAATTTCTTGTACGTACGCGGGCAGAGCTAAGTCACGAGGAGCACTATGACTGGAACAGCAGTGTCCTGGGAGACCACCTCAGCAAGGTGTTTCTAAGGGAGATCATACAGAATACAGGGTACAAGACAGCTCTGGAAGAAAGAGATAATAGATGGCTAGCTCAGCCCTCCTTGCTTTGTTTTATGCTCTCTTTACAAAACTACTTTCAGTCCAGTTCCTGACAATTTAAACTAATAAAGAGGCTGAAGTCAAAAAGAGAGATGGTGTTTTTAGTGGGAGCCTGGCAAAGGCCGCAATTACCCCCTGAAGCAAACAGGTTCAACTGAATTAAACCAACTTCAGCCAACAAAAACAATTCTAGCTTAAAGCTACTTCCAGGTCCGTCACATGTTCCTTGTTTTATTTTTCAAGCACAAGAGCTAAAAATCATGTGTGTGTAATTAAGTTTATCTTGCAGACTTAACTTTCTAGGTATTACCTGGCAGCATTAGTAGGCTGCGACCAAATGGCTGGGTGCTCTGAACAGAATCCCCTACGACAGCAACGACAATGGCCAGCACACGCACTTGCGTAACTTTATTAAACTGTGTTTAAATGGATTTGTTTAGAGAGCGAGATGAAAGTGGTCTTCTAGGTCGGTACAAACCAAGACAGCTTCTACACGCAGTAAAATGCTATTCACAACCTTTCACGCTACTTCGCTACTTCTGTTTTAACCTACCTTTGGTACTTGTTCTCCAGACACCCCCCCTCCTTCAAACCACTCCTAACAACTTACAAGGAATTGCCAACAAAAGCTAGTTTGCTAAGAGTGAGGATGTGGAATATTATAAAAAACTGGACCATTAGGCAGTGTACATGGCATTCCTACATTATAACATAATCTGTTTCTGTAACCTGGCCTGACTTCTTTATAAAATAAGATGTTATTTTCTTTCTTTTGGATATCATGCCTTAACCTGCATTACGAACTGTGGGGCAGGGCCTTTCCTTCTTAGCTTTCAGACATCCAGCTCCTTTTTACGAATAGCTCAAAACATATTACCAGCAACACTTCACAGGTAGACCTAACTGACCTTACAGTTCTCTCATTTTCAGCTTCTAAAAACCAATACCTTGTTGAATGAACTCAGATCATTTTACTGAAAGATCTGGATTCTCCCAATGCAAACAGATCTGTTCCTTTCTCCTCCCACCGCTCTCCAATACAATTAAATGCATAAATCAGTTCTACTGCAATGTTAGAAATAAGTGACTGGGGACACAATCCCAGACCCATTAAAATGAGCAGATCTGCTCTTGCTATTGATTTCAATAAGGTTAGGATTTCACTTAGCCCTAAGGCTCTTATTCCCAGCCTAGTCACCAGTCCACTGTGACCCTGGATAAGTCGTATCTTTATATGCTTCATTACAGCAGCCTGTAAAACAGCCACATCTAGACAAGAACGTAATGAAATGTAACTGAATGTGGTTAGATCATTGGTAACCAAAGCACTACAGAAGCACAAAAAGTAGTGAATGTAAACTTAACGTTATTAAAAGCAGCAAGTGGGGGGACACTTTCAAAGATGCTGTGGCCAAGACCTTTATAGTAAAGGTTACAAAGCCCAATGTGCCGAGAAAAAAAAAGTTAATTTCAGTTCAAATATAAGTTCAGTTTTAAAAATTCCTTTGTGGCTTGCAGCCCAGAGTGAACAGAACCATGGCAACATAAAAACCCCAATCAAGTGAACTGTTAAAACATGATTTAATAAAAACTATTTTTTTAAATATTCTTAAAAAAAATAAAATAAAATAAAATAAAATCAAGGAGTGTTTTGCCTAATGAGTGAGTTTTGAAAATCCTTCTGCTTGTAAGTGGAAACTCTACGCTGGGCAAGAAATGATAGCGTACCTTCAGTAACTCTGTTCATCATTGGGGAACTCCTGGACATAGAGCTCTGATAGTTCACAGGTGTCCTTCTTGCGTTGGTATCATCATAAATCCCAGGGCTCAGCTGTGATTTGGGAGCTTCATGAAGAGTTGACCTAAGAACAGAGGGACCAGAACTGACCACTGATGTATGGCGAGTACGTACAGCATCCGCATTCTTCACCTCTTCATATTTTCCTCGTTCAACCACTTTCATGTTTTCTGGCATCATTTCCAGCTGAGGCATTCCGCGGGGTAGTTTACTTGGTCCAGTGATTAAAGATTTAACATTGTGTTTGATGGCAGACTGGCCAGAGTTACTTTCATATTTTATGGGTGTACCCTAGAAAGGAGAAAAAAAAACCCACGATCAGCAAAGGTCACCCTGCCAGTCAATCAACTGCCTGGACAGGTGCTTGTAACTTTTGGATGAACATATATACATGTGGGGGAGAGGAGGCAGCCGAATCTTACATATAGCTGCTTATTGTTCATCATGCAAATTACCCAGCACACTTGCTAACCAGATATGTAATCCCAGGTTTTTACCCCAGCATGAACTGATTCCGGTCACCTGAGAAATGGAGCCTTCTATAATGGGCCTTGCAGTCTGCACTATATCTGGAGTCTTGCGACTTTCTTGGCTCAGTAGGTCCTGCCTGGGGATTTCGTGGATAGAACGGCCCATTTCTTTAATGGTAGTAACTCCATCATAGGGCTTTCCCTTGGTAATGGCTCCTTCAAATGTCCTTATGGGCGGAGATTCTCTCTTAATCTGCTTGGGATACTTCAGACCATCTTCAAAGCTCTCCGCCGTCGTTCTGGGTGTGCCTTTCACAAAGAAAATACAATTGACCAAATCTTTAGTATGCTGCTAGGTAGTGGGGCTCTCGCAGACCAATTTGCTAACTTAAAAATCACAAATATTGAGCAAACTGAACACATACTTTGCAGTTGGAATTCTGACCGGACACTACCAATGCGTCTATTATAAAGCACAGATGTCTAAGACACATGGCCTGCCCGTGGACTTAAATATGTATTTTACATAATGAACTAATTTTACCACTAAACAGGATCAAATAAGTCTTTAAGTCACTGGATGGGTACCAAGTTATCTCGAATGTCAAAAGTGCAGACAACAACATATCTTTTCATATGCTTCTATGGGAGATTTAAATAAAGTTCTGTATAAATACTAATGAGGTCTTAAGAGCCAAGAAGTCATATTAAAAACATGTGCTGTGCTTTTACAAGTTTCCTTAGGTAAAACAGATCCCCATTTCTTGGACAAGAACCTTACAAACAGAATAGCGCAACCTGCTGATAAAAAGGTGATGCTTGAAAAACATTTGGACTAGGTTTATCTTTAAAACACAATTACAATTGTGGGCAATTGGTTTAAGGGTGAGAAATCAAGGCTCCTGGAATCAATGAGTTACCATCAGCCGTCTGTATTACTAAAGACTTTACCTTGCATTATAGAGCCAGACAGCACAGTTCTTTCTTTCAGTTCGGCATGAGGGCTGCCCCTGGGCAGTGCACGGCATATTAACCCTGAAAGGATTATTTGGATGATTTAGAAAATTAAAGACACAAGACAACAAGAAAGTACACTCTACTGCTACTTACATGGTCTGTACTGCAGTCATGTCTGAAGACCCCAGCCCCACTGTGTAGTCTAGTTCAGTCTCCTCCCCCAGTGATGGATAACATTTAAGAGAAATGTTAAAACACAATTCCAGCACCACCACTCTCTCTTTAAAGTAGGGTCATTAGAAACTGAACTTATGTACCGAAGGAAAAAACATACAGCTTAAATCATGAAGACCCAAAAAGGTACAACTCTGGACAGGCTGTGAAAGAAATGGGTTGTAGTGATTACACCAGCATTTACTACCAGGCCTCCCCCTCGCCTTCCCTAACCCTAACATACCTCAAAAATGAGGAATATATACAGAACATGCCAGAAAGTTAGGCCCTTCTAACATACAACCTGTGAACTCAGTTAACTTGAACTTTCCTATCTGATAAAGAGGGGACCAAATGTCTTAACTGTTAACTAGAGAGGAAACAGGGCTGGTGTCACTGGCAGCAGGAACCTCCGCCACTCAATTCTAGTGTTTGGAAACGGAACGTTTCCTTGGTGCGTCCCAAAACGCATTTCGAAAAATTCAAAGTTTATGGTTCAACTCTAACCTCGTTACTTTGGTCAGGTCATGGTTTAGGAAGTTGGTCATTTTGTGAGGAACCAAAAAAACCCCAAAACACAGTGATTCTCTGATACAAGAAGTGCCAGGTTTACAAGCCTTTTGTCTCATATTGTTTAACTAATACAAAGTAATACCAGCAGTGCCACTGCTAAAATTTACAGCCAATACTAGCGTAGCAGTACTGTACTAAGAAGATGTCTACACCAGTACCACTATCTTCTTTTATTGCATCACTTCATGTTAAGTTACAGCAATTTGATTTCTTGCATGCATTATGTCAGTTTTATCTCCCAGTTTACTGTACAAGTCATAGAAGTCAGCTCTTCTGTCGGTAATTATACATCAATATAAAAGGTCCTCTTTTGTGTTTAAAGCATGTGCTAGATTTCAGGCAGTCGTTTTTACCTTCTAATGGTGCAGAGACTGGAGACTCCCTCATGGGCATTCCTTGCTTTATATTTCCTTCCATAGTATCATAACTTCGCTTTAAACCCATTTCATGAGCAGTCCGTGGACTCCTTGTTCCTTCTCGGACATTCTTAATAGCTGCTGGATTACACAAACATGGTTGAGGAAGGCAGAAGCATAACAAAAGCCAGCAATTCACTGAACAATGAAACGAAAAAGTACCCACAAATGACTAACAATTTGTACCTAAACATTAAATCTCAGTACTGTCACCTCTTTAATCCTCCTTAGCTTTTCTCACTTGAATACATTTTTTTAAACCAAAAATACTGTTTTTATATTGTAAACAGAATGTAGAACATGATCTGTAGGTCTTAAACAATGTGTTCTCCCGGTTGCTTCCAAACTGAACTGATTAAAAAAAGATCAAGTATTAAATTGCTATAGAAGAATTGCCATTAAGACTGGAACCAGTTTAAATTTCAATTTAAATATAAAGGGGCAACACCTTATATTGGCACACCTATTATATCTTTGTTTCCAAACACCATGTTTTCTTAAAGTGACATCATACAGTAAATAAATATACAGGACTAGATGCTGAAAAATGAACAGCTTCACTCATTCACGGAGCACTGCTCAATCTGTGCAATGAATACAGCAGAGGTCCCACGAGAAAAAAGGTTAATTTATGTAATCATAATATATACTTTGAAATCAAGATTGCCGCATTTTAAAGTACTTCATGCTGCATCCTTCATATTCTTTCAGCAGAGGCTGCATACTGTGTGGATAGGTTCTTTCCACTTAGTATGGCTATTACTACACAAATCTAGAAAAACAACTTATTCTTAAGCTATCCAGTCTGAGACAGGACTCATTTGTGGACTGTATCAGTAGAAACTCTACTCCAAATCTTAACTATGGATCTGTTATACCACTCAAATATACAAGTACTTACTATCATAGGATAAGATATGCCCACTCTTGCCTTCATAAATAACATGGCCTTTGGTTGTAGACTCATCTCGGCACTTCTCAGGGCTGCTGTCTTCGGTAGCCAGTCGAGTGATGGTTCCTTTCAGTAATGCATCAGCAGCAATGCCAGACTGAGACAGAGCTGGGGTACCCTGTAATCAAATCCATGAAGTATAATCTGACATATATAAAGACACTGAGGAACAAGCACTACAGAACAAGTCTAGCCTCTGTCTCTGGTATAGTTAGTTTTTGTCATCTCAAGTATAAGAGAATTATAGAAGAACAGCGTATTATTCACTGCCACGGTTAAACCAAAAATGGAGTATGCTATATTACAGCACTCTTCTGTGACCTGGAGCTTTTATTTTGCACGCTGCTAAGCCATTTTTGAGAAAATGGACAACTTGGCTTGCTAGTTATTATTTTAGGACTATTAGGTTACAGTTTCAAATAACACTGGACACCAATGTAGAAATACTTTTAGAAGATGCTATTCTGTGATTCTCAATTTAAGAACCCTGCAAAGATGTTAAAAGAACGTTTAAAAAAGTACTTATATTCACATGGACAGGTAAAAGGAAGTATACCTGAGTAATGGATCCTCGCAGCGAAGGCATAGTTTCAACAGAAACCTTGTTGGTTGGAGTTCCTCGTGTTATACTTCCTTCTTGTATGGTTGTTGTGGTACCTGATTCAAAATAAAATAAGAGTAACAACAAAATAAGGCTAGCTGTCAACAGTTAAAAATCTAACTACTTGCTTGGAGTGATTGAAAGCTCTCTCTGAGGAGAAAGAGTAAATATTAATTTTAAGGTATTATTGCTACAAGTCTCTACATAATAGAAAGATAAGGAAATACTTGGTGACACTATGCATTTTGCAGTACTCCGGGTAGGGCCATTTTCAAAACACTCAACAATCAGGGAAACAATGGTGACACTGTAATATAAGCAATACAGTTTACTCAGTGTTTATGTTTGAAGCTGACAGTTTCCCTTTAGTTTTCACTTGTAAACATTACAACTGTATTGCTATACGCTGATATTTCACTGAACATACCAGACAAATCGGGTTCAAAGACTTTTAATTGTACAAGATAATTCAATATTTAATAATATCTGCTTGCTGACTCAAGCAGATTAGGTTACAGGGCACCCCCTGCTTTGAATAGGTCAATACATATTTGGTGAATCATTTAAGAGTAGCGAGGACTATAAAAGTTAGCTAATTTGCTTGACTTCATCCCTGACAACCCCAAAAAACAAAAAAACAAAGCAGTCAACCTGTATTAGTCAGCCCTTACCTCTGACTACGCCTTCATGCTGTGCCCTGACCAAAAGACCCTCAGGCTGGGAATTCTGGCCTCTGGGAGAGAACTCTTCTTGCTTGATATAGGGGATGGCGGCTATTTAGAAAAAAGACCAAAGTCATTCTTCAGTGACTAACGATCATAACTTTATATGCAATGTCTACATTCCCGTTGGTCTTCCTACCAGGTTTGGCAGACTCCTGTTGCCTTGGCAGTCCAAGAGATATGGAACCCACAGAGGGCTTTGCTGGTTCTTGACCATAAGAAGCTTGACTATGGGATGTTAAGTAAGTGCCAGGTGTTCCCTAGAAGAATAAGACATAGAGGAGATACATTTTTTGTTTGGGAATAAGGATTCACTTATATTTTACTATAGATAATCATATTCCAAACAGCTAATATAATATTAACAGATAATATATTCCAAATATAATTACATAGAAGGATGAGAAAAATGTATCTGCTGAATTTAAATCACCTCTGCAAGGACTCTAGCTACCCCTAACACTTCTAACATAGTATTTCCACTTGTACTAAAATATTTAAGAGGAACACGAAAACCAGTTCAGCCAGCAAACACCTATAAAGTTTCCTCCCATTGTCACAGGTTGCTCTTGTGGTTCTCCCTTGTGAAAAGTATCAGCATCTTGTTTAGGCTATAACTAAATATGAAACCATCATCAGTTCACTTTTAATACTGGAGCAAACAATTGACACTGGCTGGATACCTTGCAGCTTTGTTTCCAACTGCTTGCCCTACAGGCACTAAAAAGTGGTGTTTAACACCACTCTACTGACAACAGAAGTCACCCCTTCTTAGCTCTGTACTGGCTTTGTGTTCACTGCTAAAAATATTTTAGCACTGGTTTATCTGAAAGTGAATCAGTGTATTCATGCTTTTACCTGCAAAGTTTCCCCCATCTTTAAAAGCTTCAGAAAAACAGCTGAATGTAGCCTACAGAGTTTCAAAATACAGAATACCATGGCTTTTCTCTTTTGTTCAAAGACACAACTCACACAAACTAGGTAGCTCTGGGAAAGATAAAAAAGGCTGCAACTTGCTCTATACCATAAAGGCAGCTGCAGTTCTTGGGCTTTTGGTAGGCTGCCCAGCTGGGAAGAGTACAAGCATGGCACTGAATATCCGCAGTTAAGAGCTAGTAAGAAACTGTAGAAGAATGTATTTGTGTGTACATAAACTCCTGCTAGATATTGTCGTCTTACTTGTGAGATAGAACCTCCCATAATGAACGATGGCTTTTCTGATGGCACAGAAGTTTTGGAGGATGGAATGAGTGGCGGTGGTGGTCTGGTAGGTCGGGTTGCTGAGAGCCGGACCCCTTCCGGTATATTTGTGATTACTTGATGAGGAGCAGGCTGGAGGACTTTTAAAGAAAGCATTGCATTAAACGTTACAGCACTATTATTCACTGTATGAACACGAGCAACAGAAATACCTAGCACAATTCATTTTGCAGTTTACAACTTCTGTCATACACGACACCAACTTAGCTATATTTTTCCTGTGCCGTTCTTTGTGCACGTTCACATGCAAAGTTTAGAAAACCCTGAGGAAATTAAACCTAGCCTGAAAGTACAAAATTAAGAGGTAACATCTACACTGTAAACGGTTTTCAATTTCAAACTTTCAAAAAATGACCGAGGTGGGTTTTTAAAGCCATTTTTTAAAACTTGATCAAATCTGAGTTTTAGTTAATCTTCCCTGAAGTTGTCCTCTGCTCCTGTTTGACAGTCTGCCCCAGAGGGACCTGTGGTAATTTAAGTCATGCAATTCAGGAGTCGATGCGATAGCAAGAGCCTCGTATAAGTTAGTTCTAACCAGAAACTGATGTCAATTCCAAAAGGTTACTCTGCTTTTCCTCCCTCCCCCTCATTCACCTGGTACTGATTAATTTATTTTTTGCAAGCGTTTAACTTAAAGTGGAACAGAAAGCTTTCATTTCCCCTACGTGCTGGAAACTCGATACATATCACACTCAAGACCTTAAGATTTTATGGCTGGCTAACACATCAGAAGAAAAAAAATCAGCTGATTTCAAAATAAAAAAAACACAAGGGCACAAGCTCCTCATGCTGAGACCATGCCAAAGAATGCCTATTTGCAGAGTCGCTCATCCTTTCATCAGTGCAGAGACGACTCCAAAGAACAGTTCAATACTACGGTAAGCCATGGGAGTCTAGCCTCAGAAGGCAGACAACCGATGACCATGGTACAAAACAGACAGTATTTACCTGGTGGGACACTATAGCGAGCGGCATTCATATCAGGCTGAGGAGAGGCTTTATTGACTTCTCTTGGAGATAGCCTGTACGGTGATGCTGACCTTGCTGCTGTATTTTGCACCTGTGCTTCCTGCTCTATTGCTCGTTTGACCTCAGCATAAGGCATATAGGCAACTGATTTTCCTATGAAATTTAAAGTCATCAGAAAGAGAAGAACCCTAGATTAAAATGTTTAGTGTGAAAAGATCCGGTCCACCATAGCCATGTGACAAGACCATCTGCTCTAATGTCAACAGCGCTCTTATCAAAGTCCAAAAGCTTCTCCTATTACAAAAAACACTTTTAGACCACATAAGAAAAGGGTTGCATTCAAAATACCACTCAATCACGGCAGTAAAGTCAAGATTTCAGAGCTAATAAAAATAGGCCTTTTTGAATAAAAGGAACTTCTAAATCGGTTTCTCTCACCCATGAGAAAGGGTCTGCAAGTAACATTTTTGGATAAAGAGAGTTCAGACAGTTTTGCATGTGAAGCCACAACCATACCGAATTCTGAGCCAGCTCCTGGATGCTTAGCGCTATTCAAATGCTACCACTACAAACTTAGCATTTTAGCCGTGTTTGTTTTTGGTGGTATTCCAGATTCAGGCATACATTTCAAATTTAAGGGATATCAGTGACACTAATCGTAGAACTGACAAAGTTTGTATTTTTTCAACTACGTTTAAGCATTTATAACTACAGCAAAAGCACGGTGAAAATGTCTGCCATGTCGTATACATTTTTTCCTGTGTGGGCAGTTCAAATTAAAAGGATAACGAATCTCTCTCTCTTCCCAAGGTTTATTCCCCCCCGCTTTGTACTTTACAAAAACCGATCCAGATTTTTAGATTCAAACCTTAAGTACAATTGTATTAGAAACAAACACAGTTAGTTTTACTGAAGCCATGAGAAAGCTTCTTTAATGAAGCTTCCAATTTTTGGTTAAAAACAATATTCCCTTCCAAACTCTGCCAGTAAGACTGATTTAAGAGTCAACATTGCCTTAGACAGAAAAACACTCGCTAAACCTTGTCCACCATTTAAGGGCTACTCCTAGTCAAGTTCCCAGCAATGATATCTATGATCAGTGAGATTTCATACCAAAAAAAATGTTTAAGAGAAGGGAAGATCTATTTGTTCTAGAAACTGAGGAATTAAAATCAATATTTGCCTGTACTTTAGAATCTCCATTTCATTTGGCAAAAGACATGAAAACCCAAGAATTCCCAGTTATGAGTCAGAAGCAACCTCCTGTCACTGAGAACTGCATCTGACATGCAAAGAGGACAAGAAACACGGTATCAACTCTTTTAAAAACTATATCCGCTGTGTCCTGCTTAAGTGCTTTGTGGATTGTCCAGTCTGCAACATCACATGACCTTTCATTTGGCAAATCGCCCTTTAACTCCTGCACCTCCTGGAAGTCTCTTGACATACATACCGTTAAGATTTTAAATAGACTGTGTGGGCCGTCACCAATGCACTGAATACTCTGAAGAAAGCCAGTGGCAAAATAGACATTAAGGGAGCAGTGGCTATTAGGAGTTGTAGATGTCCCAATTTATTCTAATTTTCAGATTTTAAACAATAAGCTGTTTAGGACTCAAATACATTTTATCATATTCTTCCCATCTCTTCGCTGGCACAGTAGCAATCTTTAATTTTGCTGGCAGAGACTTCATCCTCAAAAACTTTCCCACACTTCATAATAAGCTGTTGCCAATGCCAACTATTACTCAAAGTAGTGGTATTTTGGCTAAATGGCATTTTTAATGGCAGCCACAAGTTTTTCCACCTACTTTAAAGGAACAACCCTAAAAACAGTTTTATCTCTACAAGTTCTCTTCTCAGTCCTGGGATTGGCAGAGAACAGGTATATCACTGTTCAAAATAAGCACAAGCTCATTAATGTAGCAATGACTGTTTCATTTTACTTTGGCAAAATGAATTAAGAATATGGCGTTCAAGCAAGTGCATTTTAAAACTGCAGCACATGTTAAAAACAGAAAATTCAAATCTGTTTTCCAAAAGTAAAGTAATTGGGTGGTTTCACATGAGATTATTTAACCGGCATTATCAACGAAGTCTGATGCTGAGCAACATTTCCTCTACACAAAGCAAGTAGTATAGTGAATGAGGAAGTATTCTTCACGGTCCCTTAAATAACAGTTTTAAATGCAAGATTCTGAATAATGTCCTAGCTTTTGACTGCAAAGCTGGTTTAAGAGAGTTGGATCAGTCTTTCAATCTTTTACACCCTTGATTTTATTAGCGACTCAAAAAGAATGGAGGTTACCCATCACAGCATTCACCAAATTAAATCAAGACCATTTATAGTCCTGCAAGAGCATGAAGCTCTTGTAACTGTCACTTTCTCAACTGGAGAGAGCAAAATTAATTCAAACTAGGTATTATTTGGAAGAGAAAATGCTGCATGCTTGCCTACCCAGAAAAGGATTACTTACAGAATCCATTTTTAAATATATATATTATTTTTAATTTGTTCATTAGTTATAGCATGAAACCTACTCCGTGTGAGATCACAACTAGACGATCAACATTCACTGACAGAAAACGCCAGCCGTATATTTAAATCCAATCCAATAAATTTATCATGGCCATTGCATACAGAAGCGGACCAGGGGGTGGAAGGTGCACCAAGTCAAAGGCATTGTTCTGTGGCTGACTATGATGAGACAGGCCAAGGACGAGTTTTATGTTATCCACTTTTGGATCACAGACAGATTTGACAGCCACCTTCCCCATTCAAAAAAGAAATACTATTATTATACATCTCAGAGACTTATTCAAGCCTTGCTTTGGAACATTATTTTACAATCTATCAATGTAACCCCATCAGCAGAAGCTTCAGAAAAAAATAGTTCACATCTTTCCAAATTGGCAGAAATTAGGATGGGGTAGTTCTGCAGCTCCTTCACACCCCTGATTTAAGACCCCAATCTCCAGGAAATCCAGTTACCAGTCCCCCCCACCATGTCCTATGCTTGCATTCTTGAGTCTCCACCCCCCTTTGGCAAACCTTTGCTCTTCTTGCAACTGCCATTTTCACCTTGGGGCTCCTTGCACATGGAGATGCCCTATATCATTCCACTCCCAGGTCCTTTTACTGGTGAGTCCTACCCCTGCTGAGCTCCCTTCCCGATTCAGTTCTTCCTCTTGTGTTTTACCTACCCTGACTGAGCTGGTTCTCCTCCTTGGGAAGGGGCCTACGTATGAGACTTCTACTCAGCAGTGTTCTCAGCACTGCATTAGCTCTCTTCTCTCTAGACACTCTCCAATACTGCTCTCATGCCCTTAGGTCTCATAAAGCTCTCTCCAGACAACTCTCATCAATTCCCTGCTGCAACCAGGGCCTTTAGAGGGACCAGGTTAGCAGATGTGGTAAGGAGGCAGCTATCCAGCTGAAGTAGAGCCACTTCCTTGTAAAGGGGCCAGACACTATGACAAGAGGGGTATGTATCTAGGATTTTTAAAGGCTGAACTTTTTCAAATAATTCAACCTACCTTCCCACTCCATGCTGGGGCTCTTGGATGTGCCACATGGGCTCACAGAACTTCTGTATTCCATATCTAGCTGCTCTTGCCTTTGGCGCTGCTCTTCCAACAATGCTGACTCATGCATAATAGCTTTAATGTGCCGCTGGTAGAGAGCATAACCACTCACTGGTGTGCCAACAGGTACAGTACATGGGCTACAAGAGACCTACAATGGAGGGAAATAAGCACATGGCACCTCCTCATTACACATTACAGACTGACCAAGCTAGTACTCGACACACGCAGAGTCTGGTAGACTCGCTTCAAAGAATATCATCTACTGTAAAAGCAAGCACCAGACCTTTTCAGAGCATCGAAGTATCCATCCTGCATTTATCTGTAGTTAACAACTACAGTCTGAAGAGTTCTTGAAGTGTTGGGATAAGGACAAACAAACTCCAAGTGTCGTCATTTGTTTTATAATACTGACAGCCTACTATTACATAAGATTCCCCTCAAAAAATCACTAAAAACGTACCATAGGAGGTATGACAGCAGCTCGATGGTGAAGTTGTTGCAAGTCCATCTGTCCTTGTTTTATCGTGGATGATACTAGTATTGATCCAGTTGGGTTTAGCAGTGAAGGCTTTGAGTCCATAGTGAAGATCCTAAAGGAAGAAACCAGCATGAAATAAGTCAGATAGACAAAAGAACTCTCCTGCTCTTTAAGCCAAAATAAAAACCAACAAAACACCCCCATGAAAAACAAAGTGAGAGGTCGGACAAATTATTCACTAAACCCAAAACATTCAGGATAGGAAAATCATTTTTTAGCTACCTCTTTAGGGTTGATAGTCCAGTACAATCAATAAACAAGGCCACCTACTTCCTGGAGGTGTGAAAACCCAGTTGTTATAATGCAAGTCAAGGTACTCCTGAGAATTAATTTATGCATTTGAGAAGTTAAGACCTTAATAATAACAACAAAGTTTTGGAGATTTATAAAACAGCTAGTACAATGGAGTCCAAATCCCTCCTTAGAGTAAGTATACTGCAATATAAAGTTTTGAAAGATATAGAAACAAATAGAATTCAAAAACTGCTAGGTTTAATAGTTTGCTCTTCTACATTTTAAATCACACTGAAAGATTTAAAAGGCCATTTTTATACTCACATAACTACAGTATTAATCTCCTTTACAGAGTTCTCTGAGATGTATAAAAGCGCTATGGAAAACAGCTGGATACTACCTTTTTACTATTGCAGAAAAAAAATTGTGGAAACTACCTGAAAGTAATATGCAGTATATTTATGCATTTGTGAAGTGGGAAGGAGATTATCCAAGAGCTAAAGGAGTAAAGAAAGATACTAAGACTTTAAAAAAGCAGATGCAGAACAATGCAATTGGATAGTTTTGACATTTAATTTCTACGCTGGGGGATGAATGCCAAGGCTGCTTGGCAAGGGACCTTCAAAACAGTATGTTAAAGTTACACGGGAAGTATATTAATATTGAGGAAGTTTTCCCGAACAGTAGAAGAGTTAGTCATGTTATCAATGATATCAAATCCCCCCCAAAGTAAAATGTTCCAGACATGGAGCACTGTCTTTTCAAGCATGGTGCAATCTTGTGGGTTCTCCATACAGTTTAAGTCTGTGCTGCACTGAGATGCCATACAATTTAAAGAAATGCTATACCAGTTTCCCAGAACCACTTACCAACCGGTTTACAGACTGAGGGAGAGGTGGGTGTGGGAAACATTTTTATGCCATTATAAGACAAACAGTCCGTAAGAGTTCCAATTCTACACTCGAGGCATACAAGTCCCATAACTGCAACTGGGTGCATATTTTAGAACAAACTCCTGGTACCATAGCATGAAGGACACCATCACGAATCCCTACCCCCTCTCAATTTGCTTATATGTCTGTTCCTAAATCTGTGGCATCTCTTGCTAAAAGGTGAAATAGGCCATTTGTGCTGTAACTACTGCAAGAGTTTCAGCTACATTCTGCAAAGGTGGCTTTGTGAAAAGCAGCTAGTGATGCAAAATGGATTCTGCTGGGAAAGGCTGGATTAACAGTACTGTAGCACAACCTTTAAGCATGTTCAACAACAATAACCATTTTGAGGCAATTATCTGGTTTCAATTTATCATTAGATACAAATTACATTTGTTAGTACTATGTACAACACACAATGACACCTATCAGCTAGCATGAAATTCAAGAGCAAAAACCTTTACAAGATACTGCCTGCATCATTAAGCCACTTAGAAGTGAAGAATACCAGAAAGGCAGCTCAGCTGCATACTAAAAACAACAAGAAATATTTTATGCATTGGGACAGGAACTGTCAATTTAACTGGGAAAGTTGCTCATCATCTAATATAGCTCTTTCCTCTACAACAGACAATCCAGAAACTAGTTTCATGCACTTGCTCTTTTAGCAGTTGTTTTGCTATTGACTTAAAAACTTAAAACTCACGCTAATAATAAGATAGCAATTAGTCAAAAATACCTGAGCTAATATGTGCAGAACACACTAGCCAAGCTTCCCAATATCACTAGTTAAATAAGGTATTTCTCCTTCTAATTGCTAATAGCATGAGTGAGCTCATCCTCTTTTATAATATAAAGAACGCTTATCTACAAAAGAGCACCTACAGCGAGTATAAAAACACTGCACGCATCTCTGGCACTCTTAATTTTGCCATTAAATTCCTTTTAAAGTGCTACATTCAGCAATACTTCTTTGGCTGGTGAAATAAAGCCAGACAGAGAAGTCATGTTCAGATTTTGTCTACGCTGGTACATTTTCAAACTGTTTGTCTAAATAACTTCAAAATATTTTCTTGGAGAGAAGTCATCTTTTCAAGGTGTGCTGCCCTGTCCAGTCCCCATCTATCTGAAAGGCTGGTGATAAAATCCAGTACAAGATATAAGATTAATCTGAAAAAGTGATTGCTTGTTTAAACCCAAGAGGAAGCTGCATTCTGAGCCACCACCTAAAGGACAGGACATATCTTATAAGTTAGGACTTAGTAAGTCCTGGGGTGCAGGCAGTATTAACACTGCCCTATTGATCATGCCAGCACTTAGTGGAGAACAGGAAGAACAGTACTAATATAAATACTTTCTACTGCATTTGCAAAACACCCTTCCCTGCCGATTCTACACTCCCTGGGTTGCAATTACCATCTGAAGTTCAGCAGAACTGCTGTCACTATTTTGCCTAGCAGGAGATCCAAGTCACGGAGGAAGCCCAGGTCTCTCTGCCTTCAAGTTGCCAGTGCTTACTACACTAAGAATCATCTTCTGTACGAATGAGAAGCCATAATTCTCTTCCACAAAGGGGGAGATGAACTCTCCATTCCCACTACTCTCCCAAACTAATGAACATTACAAAGATCATATCAACTAAATTTTTCTTATTTGTGCAGACAAATACTTCACAGAGTAACTACAGTGAGAATTCTTGTGTTGTCTTTGCTGATGGATGTGGGATGTTTACAGACTTTCCAAATTACCACTCTGGTCTCAGGGCGGCTCGCTGCCTGCCTTAACCGATTTTTAAACAATAGCTGTGCTGTGCACCAGAAAGGCTTGGGGCAACAACAACCCCACCTCTCCCTCCTCCCTCAAGAGTGGGCACAGGATTACTCGTGGAGAATCACACCAAGAACATCCCGTCTTTTTCTTTCTGGACTGGAAAGTTGTTCTCATTGTTTTCAATGACAGGCTATCCTTTCCAAAGATTTGTTTAACATGTAAGCGTATTCCATTCTCTGAACTGATTCCCAAATGGCTTCGTTTCCTTCCTTCTTCAGCTTTCCAGATAGAAGTGCAATTTTGCTGGCTGGCTATCCATAGTGTATTTCCAGGTAATTTGGTTACAATGTGTCTTGAGAAAGACAGACACTTTGCCTGAATCCACTTCTTTCCAAAAGCCCTTCTACCAAGGCGTTCAAGCCACCTGCAGAATCAAGCAATGCTGTGCCACTGATGACACACAAACATTTCCAAAAGTAGAAACTGGAACTGTCTAAACCCTACTTAAAATCTGGTTTGCCATTAAACTATAAAATAGGGTTGGTATACTCACAAGTGCTAAAGCCCTCAAAGAAATGGAACAAAGAATGCCTTAAAACAGAGGCTGTTACTAAACCCCAAGTTCCTAAACTATCTGAATCCTTTAATGTTTGTCAGCTGCATGCTGTCATTAAAAACATGCAACTGGAAAGTAAGAGGTACCGGTATAAATCTATTAAACAAGTGTCCCTCAAATGCTATGGTAAGCACTGCAAGAGTTTTAGCATAACAAACTTAAAAAAGTAAGCTAAAGACCACAGCCTAGCCCAAATCCTACTTCAGATGTCTGTGACAGAAGGCAGCCAATGACCTAAGCCACTACATATATTCAGAAAAATAATTTTTCAGAACTGGAAGATATTTTAGAGCAAAATAAGGAACATTTTTG